GTGCTTGTGTGTGTGTGTGTGTGTTTGTGTGTGTGTGTGCGTATATGTGAGTGTGTGTGCGTATATGTGTGTGTGCGTGTAATCTCTGTAGTTACTATCGTATCTTCTTTAGTAACGAAGTACTCACCATGCACACTTATCTTCCGTTCTAAGAAAAGATAAAAGCGAACTCTAAGAAAAAATGGTATATCAATATATTTATCGGTCTACCAGTAAATAAATTGCCTCCCTCTCTGTATGTATAGATTTAGTTTTATACACACACACCCATATATGTGTGTGTGTGTATTTGTGTTCATGTGTGCATTTATCTTCATCAGTCATTAAAAATATCCCCCCCCCCCAGTGGAGGACCTAAAGCAGCAGATCCAAGCCCAAGAGGACCGCCTGCTTTGCCGCGTGTGCAAGCAAGACCGCGTGGCCATCGTCCTGCAACCTTGCTCGCACATGCACCTGTGCGTTTCCTGCGCGAGATCCCGAGACACATGTCCGAGCTGCGAGATTGTTATCCGAGGAACGCTCCGGCCGCGGATCCTGGTTTGATGCGCTTTTTTTTTTTTTTTTTGTCATCGTTTCTGCTGGTTCCGTCTCGGTGATCGGGATCTGTCGTTTGTCTCTTTAAGATGTTTTAATGTATTCAGTATTAGGTGAATTACATGTTATGATGAGACTTAGATCTGTACTTTTTGAATATGGACGATCCACAAGAGGCTTACTTAATTTATTTACTTTGTCCGCAAATAACAAATTTACATGCATAAATGAATAAATATATATATTTGCCTATTTATTTATATTTATATATATATTCTATCCTCTCAATGCTCTTACTGTCGGCAAAATGTCCAACTTTAGCCTGATTGTCCATAAGAAAAACCTCAGTGTTCCGATCTTTTAAACAAACCTTACGATCAAATGAATATGTTTCCTTATGTTATATTTACTTGAACTTCCTGTATTCCTTTAATATTTAGACAGGCTAGTTTCATAAATGTAATAAAAAACTGTAACTATGACAGACAATCGTTTTTAGTGAGGATTAACCAAAACCATTGATATATATATTTTTCGTTTTCTTTAGCTTTCAAGTCATTTATCTAATTTCCAGTTCATCCAGTTATTTACCATGATGATGGCTCAAAAAGAAGATATGTATATACATATATACATACATACATATCTATATCTATTTATTTATCTATCTATCTATTTATCTATATATATGGTTCTTTGATACGACGACTGATTTTTCTGAGTACCTTTCCAAGATTTTCAGCAGGGGCTAACAAGTGTTTCTGCATCGCTGTTGTAAAGTTGAATAAATGTTCAAAAGTAAAATCACAGTGTGACACATTCTATAATACTAAAAATAATCGTGTATATATAATAATTAAAATAGAGAATGAAACTATGGATTATATAAATGCCCTTTTTCGGAGGGGGGGGGGGGAAATATTTTTTTGCTACAGTACTCACCCAGATGCTTGGCTAATATGTAACTTAACCCATTGCTGACGGGAATGGGTTAAGTTACATATTAGCCAAGACGGGCATGGCATGTACGTACATGCCATACCCACTGTGAGTTTACTTGTTTAAGCCAATGGTGCCGGGGAAAATGAACAAAAAATGGGGAAAATATTGTGCCCACTTTCTATGTTTTTCGTGAAATGTCTGCCGATAGATGGCTCTGTTAGCGCCTGATTTAAATGGCGGGAAAACGTATTTTTCACTAGTGCTATGAAAATCGATGGTATTATTTTTATCATAAACATTATAATTTTTATATTTTTTTTTAACATTAGTAACAGCAAAATAAGATTATGTAAAATATTTTGTAAATCAAAGAAACGGGTAAACGGGCGAGACGGGCGGTGCTCATAACTGGCTCATTGGGGAGTTTGTACAAGTGTTGCCATCTATGCGTAAAAACAATCAAACAAGTACTCACAGTGGGCATAGCACGTTCGTACACGTCATACCCGGCACCAAGGGGTTAATTGTTTTTACACATAGATGGCTACACTTGTAAACCAATGATCCAATTATGAGTACAGCTTGTCTTGCCCGTTTACCCTTTTCTTTCATTTACGAAAATATTTTGCCTTATCTTATTTTGCTATTACTAATGTTTATAACATAATAGTAATTATAATGTTTATAATAAAAATAACACCACTGATAATTATAGCACTAGTAAAAATACATTTTCCCGCCAATTCAAGGAAAGGTGAAACCAGGTAAGACAGAGCCATCTATGTGTAGACATTTCACAAAAAATATAAAAAAAGAGCATAGCACTTTTTCCCATCTTTTATTCATTTTCCCTAGCGGCATTGGGTTAATATAAGAGGATTTTATGTTGTGAGGAAGGTAAAAAAAAATATAGAAACATATATATCATATATGTATATATCTTATATGTGTATAATGTACATATAATATATATACAATTATATATATAAAACAAACAAACACACACACACACACACACACACACACACACACACACACACGCACGCACGCACGCACGCACGCACGCACGCACGCACGCACGCACGCACGCACGCACGCACGCACGCACGCACGCACGCACGCACGCACGCACGCACGCACGCACACACACACAAAAAGCATTCCTTTTCTGCCCCATCCTCTTTGTTCTTTCCCTTATTCATTCTCCCTCTCTCCCTTTCCTGTTTGCTGTGTGTCAGAATCAGATTCCTTGTTCCTCATGACAAGGAGTGATTGATGGAAAGCTAAGAAGAGAACAAAAGAGAAGGGAGAAATGAGAACGGTATGGAAGAGGAGGATAAGACAAGATGGAGAGAACAGGGGACAAAATGGGAGAGGAGAGACAGAATGGAAAGAACAAGAGAAAGGAGGAAAACGAGAGAAAAAAAAGGAAAACTAGTTGTCTAGTGAATTACTCTTTTCACAAGTTTGACAATCAGGAGATGACTTTATTACATTCATAAATATTTTCCTTGGCCATATCTTCCACATGACAAACAAAAATACATATTCATACAACTTACTGAACTGTTTTATATAAATACAAGGCAAAAGTATTAACACAAAGCATCTGGCAGATACCTAACATTGGGGAAATTTATTTTGCCTTAAAATTAAGACATACAAAGTGAGCAGAGAAGAATTAATGCAACATAAATGGAACAAGTAATGTATCTCTAATAACAATAAAAAAAATAAAAAAATTCAAGCTGGGTTTCTTTGTAGTATGACTGTAAGGACTACAGACTGTTTTAGGTTCAGATATGGACTTCTCTCAGAAACTAGTAATTTAACCCCCAAAAAGACATTGTACACTATACTTTGGCATGTGCAAGTGAGGACACCAGACAAACTGTACCTAGTGTTCACTGACTGCTGCAAAATTAATGTAATGTTTTTGAGTGTCAATGTACTCTTTTTATCTGTAACTTACTAAAATACAGTACATTATTTGTTGCGAACTGAATTAAGAGATAATAAAAGTGACCTTGTTGTATGCTCACAAACTAGTGTCAGATTACAAGCTGGCATGTCCTTGAAAGGTTAAAACAAGAATTTCTATACAGAGACTTCTGTAATGTGATTTTTAACAAAACCTCTACTATATAACAATGAAAATACTCAAGTCTACCAGCCTCTACTTTCTTCTTTTGTCAAAAAAATAGTTAGCTTCTCTGCCAACACTTTTATCACTAATATCATGGCCTCAACTAATCAATATCCTACAACAGCATCTATACCTCTATATTTACAAAATCCATATCACTACCATCACAGTATAGTAATATTTCCCCATTGTGTATCACAGTATTCGACAGTGCCATCATAAGCTTGATACTGTAGGACAAATATACAGTACAGAAATAGTTAATAATGGCATGTACATATATGCCATGCTCACTGTGAGTTTACTTTATTAATTGTTTATACACAAAGATGGATACACTTGTACTAAGTCATCACTGATGAGCCAATTACCAGTACTACCTGTCTTGCCTGTTTACCCTTTTCCTTGATCTTCGAAAATATTTTACATTATCTTATACTGCTGTTACTAATGTTTATAATATTATAGTAATTATAATGTCTACAATAAAAATAACACCATTGATATAGACAGCATTAGTAAAAAAGACTTTTCCTGCAAATTCAAAAGGAAGGTGAAATCAGGTAAGGTCACAAGGTCTACTAATTGACTCCTTTGTGGCTAAGCACTTGCAGAGCCATCTATGTGCAGAGACATTTCACAAAAATTTATAAAACGGGCACAGCAATTTACCGGCGACATTGAGTTAAGATGAGAAAGGATTATGAACTTCTAACAGCTTATGATTTTCTTCAGATGTACTATCTTTTTTTAAGCACTGTTTATTCACAGTGTCCAACTTCAAATAAAAAGGAAGCACTGGAGCACCGCATTTTCATGGGTTACAGATTTAACAACGGCATAATGCTAGTACTGCATGACCCCAACTACAAAGACACAGTGAGGACTGTTGTGCAGAAGGATTTATGACATTCATTGATCTCTAATAATAAAATGGGCATACAGCATTAACCCAACTCTGCCAGGTGAAGAAATTAAATAAAATTTCTACACTCTGGAGATTGATGGCAACTTTGAGCATGGGAGTTTGCTACATCAAGCTGAACAACCTGCTCGAAATACTCTGACGTGTCACCACGGTATAGAGCCGTAATCCGCAGACCAAGTGGTTTGTTATGATGCTGCTAGGCATGGTCTGGCAGTATCAGGTTAAGTATGGGCAGTACTTTCAATTTTTTTATCAATCATATATATAGGTTTAAAAAAAGAAAATCACAAACACTAAATCCATTTTTTTTCTTTCTTTCATATACATGATACATTTCTTTAAAGAAAAAAAAGGAAGAAATAAAAATCTGTAAAATTAATATTCATAACATATTTTTTTTTTACATACCAAGCATTCATACTTATACCAAGGAAATAAAACTATCCTTAAAAAAAAAAAAAAAAAAAAAAAAAAAAAAAAATATTGTGTATTGGGTGACATAACTTTCCAGCTTCCAGAGGGTCAGGGACAGGGGTAGAGCCTCAAGAAACTGTCACCAGTTTGCTCTTCCCACTTTTCTCTTGCTTGATAACCATTGCTCTTTGGTCTCTCGCTGCAAATCAAGAATAATTTGTGTCACTATAAAGGATACTTCAATGGAGTTTTTTATCAGGATGGTGTCAAAATGCAAAAGAAAAGTAAAACACGAAAAAGGAAAACTTGGATTACAAAGGCAAAAAACCTATTTGAATAGGAATGAACATATGCCAAAACAATGACAGCAAAATAATAATTCCTGACATAATGACAGAGACTGACCTGACATTCTTTTGACATTTTTACCAAACAGGGCATTTTCTCGGAAGGAAGCAGCACGCTTTGCCAGGGTAAGAGATTTCTTGGTTTCGCTTTTCACTGCTCGGACTTGGACGCCGCGCTCCAGGGGTATCACCAGATCTGAAAGACATAATAGTTTAGGAAATAGAAATAGAAGAAGAAGAAAAAGAAAAAGAAGAAGAAGAAGAAGAAGAAGCAGAAGCAGACAAAGAAAAAGAAGCAGAAGAAGAAAAGAGATTCTCACTAATAAGCATAAAGAAAAAGAGAAGAAGAAAAAAAGAGGTGTGGAGGATGAGAATGAGGTATATGAGGGAAAGAAGGAAACTACGATGGGGTAACAAAAAAAAAAAAAAAAAAAAAAAAAGAAGAAGAAGAAGAAGAAGACGACAGCAAAGGAGGATCAAATGCAAACTGAGGACAAAAAAAAAAAAAAAAAAAAAAAAAAAAAAAAAAAAAAAAAGATAATAATAATAATAATAATAATAATAATAATCTTAAAAATACTTTTGGGAGAGATCTTATCACATTGTGGGGAGACATGCTCAGCTCAGGATAATAGAAGAATAAACAGTCCAAAACTCTTAACTCAAAAATTTGAAAACCAAAACCTAAATATTAATCCTATGATTATCTACATCCAGTCTGTACTGAGTGGATTGACCTAGGGGTAAATGGGGGTGCCATTAGATGTTAGGGGTTAATGATCTATGAAAAGTGAAGATTATCCAAATCTTTACATTTGTTACTGATACCAAACTATATATGCATGCTACTTTTAGTGAGGATGAGGAGGTGTTACAGAACGATCTCGGTTCAGTTGTGGTCTGGTTCTGTCGTGATAAGTGTGTGCTGATAACTGTAAAATGTCAACCTCGGTGATTTGAAATTTGAATTCCACAGGCCAGGAGAAAAAAAAGTATTAGCATAATGTCCATAATGTCCATAATCTTTCTGCAACTCAGAATGGAACATAATAATATTCCATACACCAGGAGAAAATAAACAAATGTATTAGCATAATGTCCATAATTAAACTATCTTTCTGCAACTCAGAATGAAACATAATAATATTTTTTGTCAAAGATATGCTACCCAGACCTTACAGAGTAAAGGATACATTATCAACTGAAATGGTTCAAGGATGCACAACCAAACTAATTCTAAATTATGAATACTGGCTACAGATCCCAGCCTGCCAAGCCTAGAATACTAGCATCACAAGTCAGATAGGAAAATATAAGCAGTTTCGTGTGTATGACCATAAAATTATTTGGAAACTGTAGCTGGTTCTATCAACATTACATATAATAAATAACTCTTCAAAAAGAGATCACAAACAAGGAACAGAATTTTTCTATTTTCACACAGGATAGTAAGCATGAAATTCACTATCTCAGGATATAGTATCAGCCAGATGAATATCAAGAGGGCTATGAACCATTATCCACGGCTGATCCTCCCTTACAGACAGACATTTAAGACCAGCAGTTCTTCTTGATTTCTCATCATGGTTAATGTTGCCATTTTGTTTTGGTTGCAGAATATTTGTTTGAAGTAGGGAACACTAAATTTCATGCCAAACCAAGAATAACTCTTGCTCGGCAAAAGCAAAGTTTAAAATGCTTTTGGCCTGACTCATCTGCAAAAAATTGTATTGCTTGTGCACCCTAATGTACAAGGCTCTATAATCTGACTGAAAATAAAACTTGACAATGCTTGTGACCATGGAGTATATACTCAGTGATTGTAATGTTACCACTGTCTACTAAATAATCAAATCTAACTTGACCTTGCCTGCCTTCTTTGTCACATTTTCAGATATACAAATTTGAATACTTTTATCAGTAGATCAAAGACATAAATGCAATGTCTAATATGTATTTATTGTATTTACTAAAAATGTGATTTGGAGCAAGTTTTATTCAAATGCTATACTATCAGCACACTCTAACAGACAATGCGACAATGAAGCCAAAATGCGCATGAAAATTTCCTGATGTAATCATATATGTAACCATATAATAGAAAAATGTCTAACACTAGTATTGTGGTGCATTCCTAGAGACATGCATTGCTTTGAAAAATATATTCTAATAATCTTCATCCCATTGTAACTTTACTTTTTCCTATAGACATATAATAGATGTAATTCATCTTAATGAAAATCAAAATCTCATATGGAAACGACAGCGATCTACTAATATTCCCTCTATTTCTAATGCTGTGAATGACTCATATTCCCAAAAGACCACTTACGAAAACCAAAGAGTAAGAGCAAAGAGAAAGGATAAGACTAACCAATGCCACAGCTAAAATGAGAGACAAAAATTATTCCCCAAAACTAAGTTTGTGTAAAGATTATTGTCTGGTTTGCTAAAAGCGTGTGAAGCCCAAACCAATGAATATTCATTTATACAAACATTAATATGCACAAAAATAAACGCATATCTGTCTATCTATCTGACAGAAATACATTTATGTATCCATCAGTAGATATGCACGTCTAGCCTGATAAATAGGCATTTATATCTGTGTATATGCATGTCCATAATGAATATTCACTGGGTCGGGCCTTGCGCAAGTTTAATAAACTGGCTGGATGTCTGTGGCTTGAGGGAATTATTTCTAACTTTATGGAATGTTAAGTCCTTGCAACTACAAAGGTAATGGAGAATATATGAGGCTTAACAATATCCCCAAACACTGAAGTCAAACCATCAGAAACTGACATTAAGGGGAAAATGGTGATTCAATGAAAAATATTTGTAAATAGAAATAAAATAAATTAATAATAATAATAATAATAATAATAATGAAATTAAACAAATGAAACTTAATAGGCAAATAATACATCAGATTATTGTATACTTATATGGGTGTAGATGTTCTATGTTGTGATGTCATGACATTTAATATTTTTGTTATAGAAGACTTAATATCTGATCAAAATAAATGAAAATTTGTCTGTGTATAGTATGAACATGTCTTAAACATGCATAGATTTTCTTTTTCTGTTGGCATGCTGCCTAATGTCACAATTTTATGATGCTGATGTCATCACATTATGCTATTACCCTAAACCAATTTTCTTCTAGAAGTCTGTTCTCTATACAACATGGAATTCTGAGTATGAAGATTCTCATTTCACTCAACATTTTCCCAAAGTCCCATAAAAAACGTGCAAATATTGGAATTTCTATAGAATTTTTTATTTGTGTAATCATACCCTTCGAGAACATGGCCTGTAAAGTTTCTGTGACGGTCATACTGAGTGGTGTGTGGCATTATCCACACTCTACCTTTTGACATCTACTGGATTACAATCTCTCTTCCTCTCCCTCCTAATCATTCTCCCTAGTCAAAGTGTTGCCTTATCCTGGTACCATATTCTGGTCACTTATTAGATTACAAGGAAAAGTGTGCCTAATGACTGACTTTCACTACACCAGGTGGCTTTTGGAGCCTTCTGGGGCAACAGAAAGCATATATTTTTTTTTAAAGTGTATAGACATTTAGCTATTAATAAAAAATATAATTTTGACCAAGAGTCACCAGGTCTCCCCTTAAGAAGAAGAAGAAGAAGAGGAAGAAGAAGAAGAAAAGAAAAAAAAAAATTAATAATTAATTTAAAACTTTTTAACCTTTACAAACAAAGACATTCATAAAAAAACATTTATCAGTCTAACCTTCCTTCTGCTCTTCCTCATCCATGGTGCCAATGTCATCTGCAATGTCGTCTTCGAATGTGGTGTGCTTCCCCTGTGCTGCAGGCAATGATTGTTGCTGCAATTCTGCTTCTCTCTCTGCTGCAACTTGTGCTAGGAGTTCATCTGATAACTTTTTCGCTTGCAATTTCTGCAGACGTTGCCTCTGTGGAAAGAAGTGCCTTTTAGAGTGGGGTACACTGAAGAAGTAATGTCAAAATCTCAAAGTAGTTAAAATGAAAAATAAAAGAACAGAGAAAATATGAGGAAAGAGAAAAGAGAATGTATTGTATCAAGATGGCACCTTCAGTATTAAGTGAGAGAGAGAGAGAGAGAGAGAGAGAGAGAGAGAGAGAGAGAGAGAGAGAGAGAGAGAGAGAGAGAGAGAGAGAGAGAGAGAAGTAATAAGAGAAAAACAATACTGTTATATGACTTCCTTAACCGGATGCTGACGGGTGAAAAAAATAATAAAAAATTCTATAGTGGCAATGAGCAGGCATTGGGCACGGAAGTCCTCTACATCAAGCCGAACTTCCTGCTCCAAGCGCGTGTTGTTGTGGGGTACAGTCTTACCCCACAGACCGAGCGGTTTGTTATGACACTGATAGGTGTGGCCTGTCAGCTTCAGGTTAACCCATAAACAACAATATGAAAAATAGGTGTAGGGAGTATTACAGAAAAATGAACATGACGGAAATATTAAAAAATGACATGACAAAATGTTATTTATTGTTATTGCTATTTGCTGGAGTTATAGACTACTGAGAGAAAAATGATATAAAGTCTATTACTGTCTTAATACACCAAATCAAATAACAAAGAAAGACATTGAAAATGACAATAAAAAAAAGCAAAAAACATTAATGCAAAGGGGAGGCAAAGAGTCTTGAAACTTCACATGAGTGTTCATGTAAGTGGGCCTATAAGCCACACACCTGGGAGAGTTGCCACTCAAGTAAGCCTAATGCCTGGATTTGGGGCCATGTGCAGGCAGTGAGGTTAACCTAACCATTATGGATTTACATTCTGTCCTCTGTAATTTTTTTTTTTTTTGTAAATTTTGTTACATACAGATGACATGACATGCTCAGCCGGCAAGGGGTCTATCAGTAGGCCCTAGTGACTGATCCTGATATCTGTATTCCTTGAATTGGTGGGAAAATGTGTTTTTCTTTTTAATGCAGTTGATATCAACACTTTTATTATTGTTATCGATATTATGATTACTAAATTGTCATTTAAATCTTGGTAACATTTAAGATAAAGAAATAATGCAAAAGACCCTTTCCAAAAGTCAAGGAAAAGGGTAAACAGGTGAGATAGGTAAGACTAATAACGGACTCCTTGGTGATTAAGCACTTGTTGAGCCATCTATGTGTAAATACAATAAATAAACTTATACCACAGTGGGCATGGCTTGAATTCTTGCCATCCATGCTGATTAAAAAACAAAACCTTTTGGCCATATAACCCAAAAACATACCTTCTTTGCTTGCTGGTCTTTATTCCTCTCCAGTTTTCTCTTTCTTGCCTCTTTCACTTGGTCCTTCAGCTTCATGATTTCCTTCTTCATCTTCTCCTCTTCTCCTTCTGCTATCTCCTTGCCCTTGGAGAGTGTGGCTTCCTCGGGGGCATCGTCGGAGTCATCTGCTTCGTCATCTTCGCTGTCTTGCGGTTGGCTTGCACTCTGGAAATTTGAGGGTGGCATGAGGCGCTGTGTGATTATGTACTTGACGTATCGCTCATTTATTTATCTTTATATATATATATATATTTTTTTATTATGTTACAATTGTGTGTTATGCATGTGTGTGTGTGTGTGTGTGTGTGTGTGTGTGTGTGTGTGTGTGTGTGTGTGTGCATGCGCATTTATATACATATATCTATACACATTTTTATTATTATCATTACTACTACTACTACTACCATTATCTTTTTCAAATTTATACTTAATATCCACAATAATAACATCATTACTACTGTTATCATTATAATATACATAATGATAAATTACCTATTGATCTATCTATCTATCTATATATATACATATATACACCACTAGACACTGTTAAGATCAGATTCTGTAAGGTGACTCTTATTGTGTACATGAGCACTCTCTTGTGACTGTAAGATCATTATCTAGGGGAAAATTTATGTAAACTGAACAAAACTAAAAACAACAACAAAAAAAAGATAGGGAAATCTCCCAGACACATGCATTTATATACAGAAACACATGAACCTTTGTCCAATAAATCACACCAATCTACTAACATGCTCTGGTTGATCTTCGTCGTTATTGGTGTCCTCTTCTTGTTCCTCGTCATCTTCATCATTGTCATCGTCCTCTCCTGCACTCTCTTCAATGTCGTTACCATTATCCCCTGCGTCCTCTATGTGTTCCCCCGTGTTCTCGTCGTCGTCCTCGTTGTCGTCTGAATCATCTTCCTCGTCCTCGTTCTCGCTGTTCTCAACCTCCTCTTCCTCCAAGTCATCTCCTTCCTCTTCAGATTCTTCGTAAATGTTTCCCTCTTCCCCATCACCCTCGCCTTCTGCCTCGTCCTCTTCCTCGTCGTCTCCCTCTTCTTCCTCCTCCTCCTCTTCTTCTACGTCCTCTATGTCCTCTTCTAAGTTATCGCTACTTTCCTCATCAGATCCACCAGCCATGGGGCCCAGGAGATTCTCTGTTCTCAAATCTGCAAGCATGATGACTGGAAAAAAAAAAAAAAAAAAAGAAAAAAAGTTTTAATGGTGACACTGTACAAGTAACTGATTGAAAGAAAAACAAAAATAATATGTAGAAGACAATTATTCCTAAATAAAAAGAAAGAAATCCAAAAAGAAAAGAATTAGAGAATAAAGGAGAAAAAAAAATTCATACCACTTTCATAACCCACTGTGGAAGGGCAAATTAACAACAGATCTGGTAGATAATTGTGCACAGCATATTTCTGAGCAAAGCATCAAGTGGCCTCCTTGTTTTGTACTCCAGCAAAGGCTAGCAAACCACAGGTTGAAATGGTTCTGGACACACATTTGCTGAGGGATTGTGACCTTACCCTATACTTTGCACAATTTATGGTAATTCTTTAATCTATGACATCCTCCTGGGATTTAAAGCCAGTCCCCATGATTGAGTAGTGCCTGTGGGAACAACTAAACAGTCTGCCTGTTGATGGGTTTACTGCTTGTGCATGTGGAGAAACCAGCAAAGTGGCTGGTGTTCAAAGTACCAGACATTTACTGGTAGTATGAATATTTAGAATGTATGAAAATCTGATTATTGTTAATATATTTCTGTTATCATCCAGACCATAGTATTTATCAGCAAATTGAAATCGTGACTAATAACTTTATTACAAAGGAAATTAATGAACAGATATTTAAAGATATCAAAGCATTTTGCACTTACAGAAAACAGGGCACCTACAAGACATGCTTCCTCTCATTATGAATTGATAACAAGTTTGACTTGATCACTCCCAAATTAATTTTAAATGTATCACTTACAAACATCAACATAAACAAATACCTTCAAATACCTTCCTTTTGTAAATGCGATGCACAACTGTAAACCTTTCAGTGCTAAGTACCATACTAGTTCTGCACAAGGTCCTATCGACTACATGCTTCGGGTCCTGCTGGCTTTGACTGGCCAGTATGTGGGCAACAATACATCTCATTGCACATATGTAGCCCAGCAAATGACAGTGTCCAGATGGCTGTGCATGAGTGCTTGACTTGCACTTCGACAAAGGCCAACAACAATCAGCAACAATTGTATGGCAAGAGAAAATATTAAATTTCAGGTCTTTGACAATGTAACAAGATTCCTCATTCCTCATAAAGTCTGATGAGTTAGCAATACCACCTGCCCTCTTCAATGAGTTGGCCTGAGGGACTTTGGGAAATCAGGGTTTTGGGTAACGGGGACACAAAATGTATAAAATGTATATAATATCTACCAAAAGTGTGTGTGGACTATGTGGTTTTGTAACAACCATACTCCCATGTTGTGTCCTGTGTGCATAGCGATTGTGACTACCTATTGACCTGTATATCAAAGAATGTTTTTTTCCCCAATAATGGACTTTTCTGGCTAAAAGCACATCTATTTTCAATTTGCGCAAGATATGTCATAGATGAAAGGTGTTTTAAATTTCATTAATTTATCTATTCCAATTTATCCAATCACGAAAATCTGATGGTTATGCACTAAAACTGTACTGACAGAGTTTTGACGGCAAGTCATATTTTGCCGGAATATACATGGTGGCTGTTTGTACCTTCAGACAAGGGACAGCAGACTCAACAGTGAATGCTCAAGTGTCTACAGCTATATCTTTGACAAGGGATTGTAGGCTTTACTTTCTTCAAATTGTTTTCTTTAGCTAAAGCTGCTGGTTTGTAGGCTCTACAGTAATTGTTTTTGTTTTGCTTTTCTGTCTCAGCACTGTTCTTGTTTTGAGATTTCCCAAAATTATTATTTCTATATCTTACAATACCTCACAATGTGTTTGTTCAATTTTTTTTGGAATAGTTTCAGTTTCACACTGCATATGTTACCAGGTAAACTTTGCCCATAATGGACAGAAAAAAAATCATATGGGTTAATATTTATGGTATTCAGGGAGTCTGGGAAAATGACGATGATATTCTTGTAGATGACAAAAAGTTGCAGTTATCAGAACAGAAAAAAATCTACAAACAAATAGTAAGGACAGAAAAAAAGGAGGAAGATTGCCGAAACTGCTGCACACAGCTGAATTCCACTCGACAATCCCGTGTTTCAGCTCATATCTTACAGTGCATACCATGGTGAGGACAATGTTTGGCTTATCTTTATGGTATGGATGCATATTGAAGATTATATGCTTAAAGAGGTCAAAAAGCTACATTTGTAGGTACAAGAAATAATCTGCAGACATGAATGGTAACACCACAAATTAAGTAACAATAATGCAAAATGAGCCACTCGAAGCCTAACTCTACTCACTGCTCCCAAGTGTGAGCTCTATCTGTTGTTAATCTTTACAGTGTAAATGCACTATGCTAGGGTAAACTGAAGATGATGTAGGGGAGAAAAAGTTGCAGGGTAAGTATAAGAAATAATCTGCAGATACTGAGTGCAACAGTAAAAATAATGGAAAAAGATTGTAGAAAGTTGATAACAGGGACAGAGCCCTACATGAAACCTCCGCTCAGACAACTGCAAAATCATGAAAATCTAAATGGTTGTAAAATTTTGTGACATGGCATTGTGGAAAGTATTGTAAAGAATTAACCAAACTTGCCGTACATGCTGAGGTGAAGACAGTGTTCAGCAGGTGGTACTCCCCTTGTGCAGTACCCGAAGGGCACACCCAGTCACGGCAACCTGTGACTACCACATAAATGACATGGAGTTAGGGAATAGCAAGTGCATTCATATTGCAAAGAATTATCCACTGTTTGCCGGGGGTGTTGGCGGACAGGGAGCTCCCCATCGACCCAACCCTCTGGCAGAAGAAGACAATCACTGGCGAATGTGTCCGTATAGTAAAGAATTACCTGTTGATAACTGTTCTTTCCTATAAGCTTCCAAAACCGGGTCTTCATAAACAATTCCCACTTTCAACTACTTCCTGAAAAGTCTTTTTGGAAAACAGCAACAGATTGACACATACTACACCATGAACAACTGGAACAAAATTAATAACTGCACGATCTGGTGTGTGTTAGAAAAAAAAAAAAAAAAATACTGTGTATTATATGGTAATTCCTTTAGTTTCTTGTTGCTATACTTGTTAAGGCAATTTAATCAACCACACTCAAAAAAAAAGGTCAATACAGATCACAATCACTTCCACTTCACCCAAAACTAAAACAAACGCACCATATTTACCAACAAATCACATTAAACTTAGAAG